AAAGAACTTAAAAATAGTATACTCCAGGAACACAGTCACATCAATGTTTATAGCAGCACAATTCACAATAGCTAAACTGTGGAACCAACCTAGATAGATGCCCTTCAGTAGATGAATGGATGAAGAAAATGTGGTACATATACACAGTGGAATATTACTCAGCATTAAAAGAGAATAAAATCATGGCATTTGCAGGTAAATGGATGAAGCTGGAGAATATAATGCTAAGTGAAATTAGCCAATCCCAAAAAACCTAAGGGTGAATGTTTTCTCTGATTTAAGGATTCTGATTCATAATATGCTGTGGGTGGGGATGGGAGGATTAAATGAACTCTAGATAGGGCAAAGGGGAAAAGGGAAGGGAGCAGGCATAAGGGTAGGAAATATGGTGGAATCGATGGTCATCATTACCCTAAGTACATGTAAAAAGACACGAAGGAGGTGACTCTACTTCGTGTACAACCAGAGAAATGAAAAATGTTCTCTATATGTATAATATGAATTGTAATACATTTTGTTGTCATATAACAAATCAAAAAAAATCACTTACTTAGATCACTTAGGTGCAGGGTCCTAGCATAGGAAGAAAGGCTTCTTAGTGAGATATATAAACAAGTGTCTAAAGAAGATAAAGAATGAGCCATGGAGTTATCTGGGGAGAAAACTCAAAAGTCTTGATGAAAAATCTCTCTGGTATATTTGAGGATTGGCAAGGAGGTAGTGTGTGGGTGAACTGTAACTGATGTGGAGCAGTACAGTAGGAAATGAAGCCAGAGAGCTAAAGGGGACTTCATCTGTATAGGGATTTTTGAACCCTTCCAAATACTTGGGATTTGACTCTGAAGGAAGTAGAAACCAGTGGAGGAGGAAAAGCAGAGGAGTGACATATTGGATGCTCTTTTTAACTGGCATGTTTTGGTTGCTGTGTAGAGGACAGCCTGAAAGGAGTGAGGGATGGGGCATCAGTAGGAAAGCAGAGCATCATCCAGGCAAGAAATGGAAGAGGCTGGGACCAGGGTGATAACTATGGGGTTGTGGCAAGTGACTGGTAGCCAGTAGGATTTAATGGAGTATGAGGGGAAGAGAGAAAGAAGGATGATGCTGAGATGTTGGGCCTGGAAAGATGTATGAAAGATGGAGCTCTATTAACTGAGATGCAAAAGTTTTGGGAGGAGTGTGTGTTGGCTAGGGGAGGGAGAGAGGGGGAGAGGGATCAGAAGTTTGGTTTTAGACATGTTCAATAAGAGAGGCATATTAGATATTCAAGCAGAGATGTTCCCTGGGAGGTTGGAATAATGAGTCTGGAAGTCTGGCTATATCATTGGCATATAAATTATACTTTAAACTGTGAGACTAGATGTTATCATCAAGGGACAGAGTATAGACAGAGAAGTGAAGAGGTATGTAGATTGAAACCTGGGATTGATTCTCCAACATTATTAAAGGATTGAATGATGACATGGAGGGATAACCAGAAAACAGAAGGAGTGGCCAATGAGATAGAAGGAAAATTAAAAGAAACCATGTGAAGAAAATGTTTCAAGGACAATAAATGACCAACTGTGCAAATACTGCTATTAGGTGAAGAAAGAAGATCATCCGCATGACTGACAGTTAGGCACCATGGGGTCTTCAGAGATCTTTGTGAGATCAACTCCCCATGGCTCAGGCTGAGTCCAGGCAGTTTTGGTGGAAAAGTGGGAGGAAAGCCTGTTGTAGTAAGTTGAAGAAAGACGGCATTCAGGGGCTACAAACAACAAGCACCTACTTACAGCTATTGCTTCAGGTTGTAAGTGCTGTTTTCATTCTCAGAAGTGTTCAGGGGCAGATGTCATCCTAACTATGTGAAAAGACTTTCAAGGATGGTGGCTGGAAACAATAACTGGAATTCTGTGACCAAGAAAGATTTATTTTTAAAATAAGGGAAACAACACAGAGTGTTTGCTGATGAGAATGATCCAGTATGAAAGAATAAATTGGTGATGTGGGAAATAAAGGGAGAATTTGGGGAATGAGGCTTTTGAAAAGGGAAGAGGGATCGAATGTGGAGGGCTTAGCTTTGTATATCCTTTGCAAAGGGTGTGAAGGCAGAGTACGCTGGTATAACTCTCAGATTGTACTTTTGTGGTTGATTTATTTGTTTGTTTTCCACATATTGTGAACCTCTTAAGAGCAGTAAGTATAGATATCTTGCTCATTTTGTGGTAGGGATTTTATCGTTTTATTTCTATTCACTAGTACAATGCCTGGAACACAGCAGGCATGCAATAAATGTTTGAATGAATGAATGAAGACACTCTGCTAAGCATGCATATGTTTTGTTTTTTCACTCAAATTGGATTATTTCTATCAAATCTTGACAGCCAGATTGATTTAATCATGTTTCTCTTGTCTGGGCCTACTGAATGCTCTACTACTTGGTAGAGTTGATTGATAGGAATGACTGTGCTTCTACCAAAATCAATGATGCCTCCTAAGAGTAAAATCAGTGACCCTTGCTGCATCATTTTGAAGTTATCCTGGCAATGGTTCATGAATTTACTACTTATGTCACCTTGAACTTTCTGAAAACTCTTTATTTTTCCTTAGTCTCTGTTCACTATTTGTATTTTGCCAATCACACAGCATATAACATTATCATTTTTTTCTAACTTACCTAGTACATGAGAAGCTTTTTGAAACCACCTTTTGTTAGAGAACATGTCTTTTTCATTGCTAAATTAAAAAAAAAAATTAGTCCTGGTCCTGCTGCAAAACAGGTGCAAATTAAATATTTGTTGAATGAATGAATGAATGCCCAGATGAATGATTACTGTCCCTGGAGAATGTTTTCTGTGCAAAGACCAGATCTTCTTTCCAGAATGGTGTCCCTATACACTGGCAGCCATTGCTTTGCACTCAGCAGAGCAGACCTGTCACCTTCTTCAAAGGACTATTGTTGGATCATAGGATCTGCACCACCTAGATGTGCTGAGAATCAGGAGCGCTGGGGATTTTATGTCCTCATTTTGGTAACTATAGCCAATGACTGAGGTGCAAGAGTGTGGAAGTCTAGATGTCTAACCTCAAGCCTGTACAAACTCAGCTGTGCCATTTATGCTCTAGAACTCTCTGTAGCTCAGGCTGAGTCCAGGACTTTGCCTGAATTGCACCCTTGATTGACTTATTTTTCTTTATCATGGTTCCCTGACTCCCTTGTAGGTTTTCTCTGAGAGTGCTTTCTTATTGTATTGCTTGTACCCTCAATCCTTTTCTTAAGGGTTTCTCCTTGGGGAACTTCACTTAAGACATGGAATGTTTGTAAGCAATGTCCGGGGCAGGGAATCCTAACAGTGCCTCTTTGAGTGTCAAGTTCTATTTTAGATGTTCTTTCTTGATAGTTTCTGATTTTATACTACTGCCAGCCAAAGATATTGATGCTGCAAACTAAATTTAGTATTTGATTTAGTTTTTGGAAGAGAAGTTGTTTTGCAATTTTGGTCAATTAATTATAATCGAATTTGGTAAATACTTTGTTGAGTTGCAGATCTTTCTAACATAATGTGAGAATGTATCTTCCTCTCCTCTCCTCTCCTTGATTTGACATATCTGTATTTTCTCTTCTTAGGCATGGGTAAGAAAGAGTTAATTGTATAATTAACTTTTATGTTATGATTGAGTATGACTTTCTTTTTTTCCTCTATTGAATATAAATATTCATTTTGGTATACTGAGTAAACCATTTATTTTTCTGGCGATATGAAAGGGACACAAACTCTCTTATCTGTAAAATGGGATTGGAACTAATGTGTTTTAGAACTGAAAAAGCACTTTAGCAACCAGCTGGTGGCCAACACCTTCATTTTATAAATGAGAATGTTGGAGACCCAAAGAGGTTAAGTGATTTGTTTAATATCACCCAGCTTGGCTAGTGGCAGAGCAGGACTAAAATCCAACTCCCAGGCTGCTGTGCTCTCTACTGCTTCCACAAAATACATATTTCTTATTCACAGAATTGATATGAGGATTAGGGACCACATCTGTGAAAAATAGATTTAGCCTTTGGAAAGAAAGATGCTGGATAGCTTTATGAAAGCTTTATGAAAACTAATCTCATTTTAACCTTTTCTGTACAATTGTTAGTTTTGTTCAGTTTTATGTTTCTCGCTTTAGGCTTTTTTTTGGGGGGGCCAAGGACTAGATAATTTATGATGCTTGCTTTAAAAATCAATATTAGTATCCGGATTGTGTACATGAATTACTTTAGCTGAGTTTTGAAGCTAAGAGCAGTTGTGAACGGTCTTCTAGAATGATGACTGCTTATGTACACGAGTTTTCTATCCTTGGTTTGCATATTGGAAATAAGGACAGTTGATTAAAAATAAAAAGCAGTCCAAGTTATATATATATTTTTCCCAGTCTGTTAATACTTCCAAAGCTTGATACAACATATCTTTAATACACCATGAATTTTCTCTTCTGGGGAACCACTGTATCCTGCTTCTTTCAGCATAGCCAGGGACCCATTATACTAATCCACCATACCTTCATATCTCTAGCAAGCATATGTAAGCGATAACTTTGAATATTTATTTGATGCAAGGTGTGTAAATCTTCCCTATATCATCTTGTAAACTTGAGAAAATTGTGACTTGTTCGACTTGGTTACTTCGATTGTTTCAGTTGGTTTCTTTCAGGCAGAGCAAGCTTTGATATATGAACAAGAATACTGTTTAATTTTTTTTTCTTTTTTCCCCCCATGTTTTTTGATGCATCATCTCTGTACATAATGGTGGGATTTGTTGTTACACTTTTGCACATGCTTACAATATAACAATAGATTTAGGCCAATGTCATTCCCCAGGGTTTTCCCCTTCCCTGCTTTCCCTGCCCTCTTGTCCATTTTCCTACTGTTTAATTTTTGTAGTATCTAAAGTGATTTGTGTAGATTCATATTTTCAGGGAAGATATAATTCGAGTACCAAAAGACTAAAGTCACTTTTATATATATTTCTAATTAGGTACGGTTGTACGCAAGACCTGATGCGATCAGAAGAGGATCCGGGGACTATGCTCTCCATATTACAAAGAGACTAATAGAATTTTATGAAGACTACTTTAAAGTGCCCTATTCCTTGCCAAAACTAGGTAAGAATTTTCTTGGTTATTTTATGGGACAGGCTCTTTGAAGGTAGAATTTCTTTAAAGACATCCAGGAGCATGAAAATTCAGAGGTTTATATTTTTTAGAGATGATAAGCATAAAAAATAATTTCTTTGGAAGAGGTAGAATAAGATTTTATGTTTCTGGAGTCTTGCCAGTAAGTGCTCATGGGAACTAAGAAAGGCATTATGTTAAATTTAGGATTCCAAAAGATGATTTGTTGAGTATGCCCCGTGGAGAGGTGCTTGCCAACATCACATTTAATCACCACAACTACTATGGAGGTAGGTAGGGCCAGGACATTGTCCATATAAGGGAATTGGGACCCAGGAGTGTTTCCATTCATCGAGAGAACTAGTGAGTTAAGGAGCTGGGATTTCAGACTAGGTCTTGATTATTCCCAGAACTATTCAATATTTTACATGAAGAAGGAACTCATGGGCAGGATGCCGTGCCAAATTCTCGGTCGTCAGATCTTAATTAGTTATCCTTTAGATTGTTTTTGTTTGTTCGTACTCCTACCACACAGTTACAGTAAATAGAATAAAAAAGAAAAGAAAAACTTGGTAGTAATGGAAATCGTGTTCTCTGCAAACTTAGTTGCATTTCTTCCTTTTACAAAGGAAATGTGTTCAATACTTGTTGGTCAAATGAATAAATGAATTAAGTTGTTACCCTAATTCAAATGGTGTGCTTTTGCCAAGGAGTGAGCCCTGATATTAGAAAGGGTATGTATATGTACTAGAAGTATTGAAGTTACTTTTTCTTCTCAGAAAACCTGATTTGGGATATTACATCAAACAGTCCTTTGTCCCCACCCCTCCATCCTTTTTCTTCCCAAGAGCATTTTTGATCAGAATCCACATAAAAGATATTTCTCATTGTAAAGAATAAAGTGTTTACTTGATCAAAAGTGTTAGTTTGAACCACAGGTTCTCCTCCCTGGAGAACTGGGCCTGTTTCATTAAGTACCTGCCTGCTGGGTAGCTTTATTGGTCTTACAATGAGTAGTTAGTTCAGAAAGCAGATAGAATGGTTGATATTGTTATCTATGGGTATGGCATACAATTTTAATGAGTTGTATTACAAAATTCTAAGGTCTTTTTTGAAATTCCAGCTCCTAGAATCAATAGGTACATTTTTTAAAAAAAATTTCAAATAGGATCTGTATTTTGTTTTGTTCTATTTTCTTTTTCTGTTTTCCTTTTTACATCTTCCTCCCTGTTAGTATCTTTTTTTGCACTGAAACCTCCCTGGTAGTCACCCAAGGCAGAAAGGAATACCTGACCTCATTTGCATGGGAGGTGACACTGTTATCTACTCCAGGTAAAACTGGCTGGGAACTGCTCAGCTTGACTCTAATGTAAAATTCACGAGTGCTTATGTTGCAAGTTCAGCAAGAGAAATAAAATGTGGATCTTTCTCTGTCTCCTTCAGACCAGTAATTAGCAGAAGAACTCAATTTATAACTTCGGGGGGTTCCATGTAACTGTCAGCTTGCAGCAGGAAGCATTTCTGTTCCTTTGCTTCATTCACAGCTGTGCCATGCAGCCTTTCATCTGTAGAAAAGAGCTTTGTTCACCCTTATTGTTACGTGTTAAGCTACCTTATGGTGTATATAATTGAATGATTTGACTTACTCCCAGCATACGGCTTTATGTATCCAGGGGAGTTACCAAAGCCCATGGTGCTTTGTAAAATTTAAAGTTCCACTTATTTTATTTTATTTTATTTTTTTTTTAATTTTTTATTGTGGGTTGTTCAAAACATTACAAATTTCTTGACATATCATATTCCACACTTTGATTCTAGTGGGTTATGAACTCCCACCTTCACCCCATACACAGATTGCAGATTCACATCAGTTACACATCCATTGATTTACAAATTGCCATACTAGTGTCTGTTGTGCTCCGCTGCCTTTCCCATCATCCACCCTCCCCCCTCCCCACCTCTCCCCTCCCCTCCCCTCCTCTCTCTCTACCCCCTCCACTGTATAACCCTGAGGGTCTCCTTCCATTACCGTGCAATTTACCTTCTCTCTCCCTTTCCCTCCCACCTCTCATCCCTGTTAAATGTTAATCTTCTTCTCCTGTTCTTCGTCCCTACTCTGTTCTTAGTTACTTTCCTTATATCAAAGAAGACATTTGGCATTTGTTTTTTAGGGATTGGCTAGCTTCACTTAGCATAATCTGCTCTAATGCCATCCATTTCCCTGTAAATTCTATGATTTTGTCATTTTTTAATGCAGAGTAATACTCCATTGTGTATAAATGCCACATTTTTTTTATCCATTCGTCTATTGAAGGGCATCTAGGTTGGTTCCACAGTCTTGCTATTGTGAACTGTGCTGCTATGAACATCGATGTAGCAGTGTCCCTGTAGCATGCTCTTTTTAGGTCTTTAGGGAATAGACCAAGAAGGGGAATAGCTGGGTCAAATGGTGGCTCCATTCCCAGCTTTCCAAGAAATCTCCATACTGCTTTCCAAATTGGCTGCACCAATCTGCAGTCCCACCAGCAATGTACAAGTGTACCCTTTTCCCCACATCCTCGCCAGCACTTGTTGTTGTTTGACTTCCTAATGGCTGCCAATCTTACTGGAGTGAGATGGTATCTTAGGGTGGTTTTGATTTGCATTTCTCTGACAGCTAGAGATGTTGAGCATTTTTTCATGTACTTGTTGATTGACTGTATGTCCTTCTCTGTGAAGTGTCTGTTCAGGTCCTTGGCCCATTTGTTGATTGGGTTGTTTGTTCTCTTATTGTCTAATTTTTTGAGTTCTTTGTATACTCTGGATATTAGGGCTCTATCTGAAGTGTGAGGAGTAAAGATTTGTTCCCAGGATGTAGGCTCCCTATTTACCTCTCTTATTGTTTCTTTTGCTGAGAAAAAACTTCTTAGTTTGAGTAAGTCCCATTTGTTGATTCTAGTTATTAACTTTTGTGCTATGGGTGTCCTATTGAGGAATTTGGAGCCCGACCCCACCGACTGTAGATCGTAGCCAACTTTTTCTTCTATCAGACGGCGCGTCTCTGATTTGATATCAAGTTCCTTGATCCATTTTGGATTCACTTTTGTGCATGGCGAGAGAAAGGGATTCAGTTTCATTTTGTTGCATATGGATTTCCAGTTTTCCCAGCACCATTTGTTGAAGATGCTATCCTTCCTCCATTGCATGCTTTTAGCCCCTTTATCAAATATAAGATAGTTGTAGTTTTGTGGATTGGTTTCTGTGTCCTCTATTCTGTACCATTGGTCCACACGCCTGTTTTGGTACCAGTACCATGCTGTTTTTGTTACTATTGCTCTGTAGTATAGTTTGAAGTCTGGTATCGCTATACCGCCTGATTCACACTTCTTGCTTAGCATTGTTTTTGCTATTCTGGGTCTTTTATTTTTCCATATGAATTTCATGATTGCTTTCTCTATTTCTACAAGAAATGCCATTGGGATTTTGATTGGCATTGCATTAAACCTATAGAGAACTTTTGGTAATATCGCCATTTTGATGATGTTAGTTCTGCCTATCCATGAACAGGGTATATTTTTCCATCTTCTAAGATCTTCTTCTATTTCTCTCTTTAGGGTTCTGTAGTTTTCATTGTATAAGTCTTTCACCTCTTTTGTTAGGTTGATTCCCAAGTATTTTATTTTTTTTGAAGATATTTTGAATGGAGTGGTTGTCCTCATTTCCATTTCAGAGGATTTGTCACTGATATACAGGAATGCCTTTGATTTATGCGTGTTGATTTTAAATCCTGCCACTTTGCTGAATTCATTTATTAGCTCTAATAGTTTCTTTGAAGAGCCTTTTGGGTCTGCTAGATATAGAATCATATCATCTGCAAATAGTGATAATTTAATTTCTTCTTTTCCTATTTTGATGCCTTTAATTTCTTTCGTCTGTCTAATTGCTCTGGCCAGTGTTTCGAGAACTATGTTGAAGAGAAGTGGAGAGAGAGGGCATCCCTGTCTTGTTCCAGATTTTAGAGGGAATGCCTTCAGTTTTTCTCCATTCAGAATAATGCTAGCCTGAGGCTTAGCATAGATTGCTTTTACAATATTGAGGTATGTTCCTGTTATCCCTAGTTTTTCTAGAGTTTTGAACATAAAGGGATGCTGTACTTTGTCAAATGCTTTTTCCGCATCTATCGAGATGATCATATGGTTCTTATTTTTAAGTCTATTGATGTGGTGAATAACATTTATTGATTTCCGTATATTGAACCAGCCTTGCATCCCAGGGATGAATCCTACTTGATCATGGTGTACAATTTTTTTTATATGTTTTTGTATCCGATTCGCCAGAATTTTATTGAGGATTTTTGCATCTAGGTTCATTAGAGATATTGGTCTGTAGTTTTCTTTCTTTGAAGTGTCTTTGTCTGGTTTAGGTATCAGGGTGATGTTGGCCTCATAGAATGAATTTGGAAGTTCTCCCTCCTTTTCTATTTCCTGAAGTAGCTTGAAAAGTATTGGTATTAGTTCTTCTTTAAAGGTTTTGTAAAATTCTGCTGTATACCCATCGGGACCTGGGCTTTTCTTAGTTGGTAGTCTTTTGATGGTTTCTTCTATCTCCTCAATTGATATTGGTCTGTTTAGGTTTTCTATATCCTCCTGACTCAATCTGGGCAGATCATATGACTTAAGAAATTTATCTATGCCTTCACTATCTTCTAATTTATTGGAGTATAAGGATTCAAAATAGTTTTTGATTATCTTCTGTATTTCTGAATTGTCTGTTGTGATATTGCCTTTTTCATCCCGTATGCTAGTAATTTGAGTTCTCTCTCTTCTTCTCTTCACTAGCATCGCTAAGGGTCTGTCGATTTTGTTTATTTTTTCAAAGAACCAACTTTTAGTTTTGTCAATTTTTTCAATTGTTTCTTTTGTTTCGATTTCATTAATTTCAGCTCTGATTTTAATTATTTCTTGCCTTCTACTTCTTTTGCTGTTGTTTTGCTCTTCTTTTTCAAGGATTTT